AGCTTACTGAACGTCCCCTGTTGACGTCAATTGAAGAGGGACCTTCTGAGTGGGTTCTAATAAACAATTGGGCATCATTTTGAGTGCAGTTTCACAGAACCCCTGAAACCCACATTTAGCTAATAATAAGGAATGGTTTATCGTATCAATAACTTTGGAAAAGTCTATTTGCACTAATGCAGTAGCTAACTGCTTGTCCCAGGCTCGAACGATGTCGTCCGCTAAATCCATTAGCGCACTTGTAGTAATATGGCGGCTTCTAAAACCTGATTGTCTCAGAGTTAAAATGTCATTTTCAGCTAAATATGTTCGACTAGTTGCCGATACTTTATTTTTCCTAACATCTTTGAAAGTACGGGTAGAAAGATGATTGGGTGTAAGTCATTAAATAATTGTGGATTAATTACTATTTTCAGGAAAGAAAAACCCCCTGAGGATTAGACTTGATAGATTTGAGAGTTTGTATTATGTCTTTGTGATCAACAAGTCTAAAACTAAACTTCTGTCTTGTACATATATGGTAACTGTTATTTGTGTAGTAATTTTTTTCAGCATAGGATTTCTTTATAATTTCTCCTTGACTGCTCGGTTTTACTCCGTTTAAATTGTACAAAGGCTTATAATGACTTTCAAGCTGTCAGTGAGCTAAGTAGCAGGAACAGTTCTGATCGGCACATGTATGTCAAGTAAACATTTGATGTCTTCGTTTAAGTATGTCACCTTTTCGTCTATATTTTTGAATATATTGCCATGGGCATGCATTGAGATCTGCTTGAAATACCATAAGTCATAACTAGATCATTAAAGTCGCACAAATTAATAAATTTTTGAGGATGACGTATTATATCAAACAACAGACGGAAATCAGTCGGTGAGACCATGTTTATTACTCTGCTGTTCAAAAGCCTTTCTGGTTGATGAATATTGTATCGAGCAAGGTACTGCTGGTCCCTGAGACTCCTGTGGCATTCATTGAGCTTATTATCAAGATTCATTAAATCATTTTCAATATCACCTGTAATCACGACAGCTATGACTCTGTCGTGAAGCAACGAGAAAGGTTAAAGGATTTTCAAGACCATCGATAGAATCAAGGAAATTGGTATTTGGAGGCCGGTAAACTACCTAAAAAGCCATACTTGATCCACCCAGCCTCAACTTAACAAATATACATTCCAGACAAGATCAGAAAGATAATTTTCCATATTTATTACTCACAAAAAAGTGCATTTCTTACATAAATCCACCTCCATAGTCATTTCTGTCTTTTCTATAAAAGCTTGCCAAAACGTCATACTCTCAGTCTTCAATCAGTCTAGGAAGGTCTGAAATAGAAGGCCCCTGGGAGCATATATTTAGATGTCCAAATTTACCTTAAGGCGACTGGTGATTATTCATTGTTGTTTTAAATGTTTAGAAGGGTGATTTGTCAGAAGACTAGATTTCTCCCTTCTATTATAATTACACAATTACCACAACATCTGTTAGTGTTAACAGTGCAGTTTTTAGATAAATGAGTGTTGCAACATTCAGAAAAAGTAAATTTGATTTACATTCCTTTGAGGCCTGCCCAAAACCACAACAATTGTAACACCTCAATACACGAAGATGGTCCTCCACATACACCTTTTTCCATCCGATATATAAGAAACCCTTTTAAAGTAATAGTTTCCTCAGAGCTGGTGAGACTTGTATGAAGACATTGAAGTTTATGAAAAAATTTAGTTTGACTCAAATCATTCTGAGAAAATATCCTTTCAATGATGTCTTCATTGGACTCCATATTATCGTCTAGTTGAACAATTTTAGTTACCATACGTGGATGTAGTTTTTTGATTCTTTCAAAGTATACTTCGGACCGAACTTGCTAACAAGCTGACACTTCAGATTATTTAAGCCAGACAGAAGACTTCATCGTTAAAAATTGATTGATTTGTTGTTCTCACCAGCGAAACAGCACAACCGTTGTTTATTTCCTTTTTTAAGACATTGGTAAAGATCGCAGTTGAAATGGCATGAAGTGAAGACTGTAGAGTACTTACTGTTTTGCTGGTATATTTTTTCATATTCACTCAATTTCCATTCTAGTAAATCGAGGGAGTTTTGCATCTCGCTAATCACTTCATTCAGCAGCTCCTTCTCTACTTTTTTCAAAACTTTCCTTTCGTACGTTTTTTTCAGACACTACACTTACGCAATCATCACAAAACCATGCAAGGTTTGCAGTAGCTTTCTTTTACACCTGAATAACTGTGATGGAACTGATTTTCACAATTTTTGCACGTCAAATATTTTGCGGAAACAATAAAATTATTAGAGCAGCTAGAACTCTCACGTACGTCGCTCGCCATCTTGAATTTGATATGATGCCAAGAATAAGTTACGTGAAAGCATGTTGGGGAAAGAAAGAGTAAAGTTATACATCTTACAAAAAATAAATAGAAAACTATTGATACACCACTTGGCTCTGAAAGCAATAATTATTTAGTAGAAGTCTGCTTTAGCAGAATCTTTACTCTAAACTAAACTTGGCATTATGGACATGCTGACTGGAAGAGGTTCAGATACTTCTTCTGCACCTTTACTTGGAGAGATGTTTGATTCATCGATAACCGAAATTATACACATTAGGATGGATGGATACATCCCACATACAGTGAAAATACCTAAACCAGGGTCCAACGGCTGGTTCAACGAATCATGCGACACTGATCGTTAGCAGAAGATCAAGAGCCTTCTTACAAAATCCCACTGTAGAGAACAGACAAGCCGATGTCGAGTCCAAAAGCAAACATAACGAAGCGGTTCGCAATGCCAAATACAAGCACGATATAAAAGTTAGGCACAGGGTAATGCCAGAGCGCAATGGCAGTCGGTCTTTCTGGATGCTGATCATGCAGATTGAAAGGAACTTCTCACAGAAGTAGCCCTCCACCGCTTACATGTCAGGATGGAACTATTGTAACTGACTCAACAGCTAAGGCGGAAGTGTTTGCCAAGATCTTTGTTGACAACTCCATCATGGACACCCCCCAACGCCCGAGTGCTGTCGATTCAAAGAATTCCCTACTATATGTGGGAAGTAATATTCAAAACTAAGACCATAAGACGGGTAACCCTTGTCGCTCGACATCAACAAACCTTCTGGTCCGGACTCGATTCCTGCCGTTGTATTGAAGAATTGTGGGACGAAGCTTGCTCCAGTTCCTTCGCGTTTCTTCCAGATACTCGTATCTTACAAATCCGTCACCTTCCCAGAAAACTCGGAATTTGCTCATGTCCAGCCCATCCCAAAAAAGGGATCAAAGACCGACCGTTAAAACTACCGGCCAGTAGCTCTGCTTTCTGTTATAAGCAACGTGATGGAGAGGTGCAAAAAAAAACGCGAGCCTATCGACTGCCTCAACCGTCACGGCTAGATTAGCAACAGGCAGTATGGTTTCGATGGCTTATGTCGTTGATCTTGATATCACGAAAGTATGGCACGCTGCTTATGCAAACTTTCATTCTATGGCCTCCCAGAGAAGGGTGGCTGACTTTCTATCTGGCCGCATTATTTCCATCCTATTTGACGGATTTTCCTCTTCATCCCACAACATCAACGCGGGTGTTCCCCAGGGATCGGTTTTAACTCCGACACCATTCCTCTTACATATCCTGTTGACTCCACTTCACAGCTTTGCTGATGACAGCACTCTACATAGAGGAATTCAGGGCGACAAGCCGATCTCTGCCAGTGAGCTGGAAAAAAGCAGTCTAGCAGCGGTTTCCTCTCTGACGAGAGACATCGAGGTTATCACTGCTTGGGTACGCAGCAATCTTGTACAGTTCAGTGCTGTACGTTGACAAACAAAAAGCGTCCTAGCGCTCCGTCGGGTGCGATGGATGGCAGAGTTCTGCCAAAGACTCAATGGGTGATATGCATAAAGACGAGTGGCTACTTTTGACTCCCATTTTTAAAGTAGCCACTCCATTTGATATGCATAAAAATGTAAGTAGAAGCTCACACTCATAAGTTTCTACTCTTTCCGTGAGGCTGTACTCGCTCCTTGAGTGCCGACTTTAATTTTTATATGCATAAAAGCGAGCGTCCACTCCGACCGCTGAGTACATACTTAAAGAAGTGCGAGATACCTAGTAGTAGACTCAGCTTTATAAGAAGTGGATATCATCACGAAATGGCCGAATTTATGCCTATTTATCAGCCTACGAAGGTGTCTAAAGATCGTAGGGAGTCAAGGGAAATAGACTATCGGGCCTTATATCGGTTTAGTAAAGTTAATGTTGAGTGGATAAGTAACCATCTTCTTGAAGAGACAGAAGAATATAGGGGTGTTGCTTTGAGCAATATAGAAAGAATGAGGGTTTCTTTACGATATGTGGGTGATCCAGGATTTCAAATTGGCATAGGAGAAGATATTGGTGTTCATCAATCTACGGTATCCCGAACCGTTACCAACGCATTGTGCAGAAGTCGAATATTTGGATTAGATTCCCAATCTCATGTGAAGATCTACACAATACTAAAAATAAGTGGCAAGAAAAGTTCAATTTTCCTTTAGCTATTGGTGCTATCGACTACACCCATATACCTATTCTGAAGCCGTTTATTCATGCAGATGAATATGTGAACAGAAAGAACTTTGCTAGTATAAGTGTACAAGCAACGTGCAATTCAAACGAAGAGTTCACAAGTGTGAATGTTTCTTGGCCAGGATCTGTACACGACTCTCGGATATGGAAGAATTCTGATATATACAACGTTATGAAATGGAATAGGGCTAGTGCTGTTTTGTTGGGAGACTCTGGGTATGGTATAGCTCCTTGGCTCATGACTCCTTTTAGGATTGCAGAAACAGCAGAACAAAGATCATACAATCGGCTGTTTACGAAAGAGCGAGTTATAAAAGAGAGATGTTTCGGACAACTCAAACAGCGTTTTCCCATTCTACATAACAAAATACGCGTCGATACAGAAAAAGTGCGAGGGCAAGGGAGGCCTTGTCATGAGTTGTTTTATCTTGCATAATGTGGCTAAGCACCTTAATGATGAAGATTTTGCTGTTGATATACCGGGAGATGGCGAACAAGAAGAAATCCATGATCAACATGCTGCCGACTATGCAGATAGAGTGATACGTCAGAGAGGTCAATTTAGAAGAGATGCAATATCAAGAATTATTCATGGCTTTCGGGTCTAAGTAAGTATCTAGCATTTTTTTTCTATACTCCAACTACCACGAAGGCCTAAGGCCTAAGCACCCATTGGGTACCGTGGCGCTATAGGGGGATACATGGGAAAGGGGGGAAAACATGATCCAAATTTACAAATTATGTAGATATACGTTGAAGAACGATGTTTAATTACTCATAACAAAATTAATAACACTTTCAAAATGGTAACTTAAGAGAAAGTTCTTAAAATTAATAAAAAAATAACATTTATGAAACATGAAGTATTTCTGTCAGTTCTGTCCTGGAAATAGGCTCATGAAAATTGGATTTCCAGTTTCTGCACTTGCATTTAAAGTTGATAAATTTGTATCAGATTCATTAATATTTTTCTTGTGAAGTAGCAGTTCCTTAGCTAGCCGAAACACTTGTAGTTGTTCAAGTAAAACTAGACGTTGGAGCTCTGTTATTGATACATTTTGCGTTTCATCGGTTTCCACTAATCCTCGTTTTCCTTTTTTTTTAGAAGGCTCCTTACTGGGCCCGGCTTTCATTGTGGTAGCTTTCAGTACTGGTCCTGAACTTCCAGATGCTTCTTCGGTGATTGTTTTTTCTTCAGCACAGGCTGTTGGAGTGTAATCAACGCTTTTTTGTGGGCAACCTGCGACAACAGCACCTAAAATTTAAAATATATGCTATGTATATTTATTGACATATATGTATATTATACTCAATCACAGATTATACCTACTGTATGGAAAAACAAAAAAATACAACTAACATTGCAATCGAGCAATACTAGGATTTGATTCTCCTTGTAGAAAATTGAACAGTTCTTGTTCCCATCCTTTCAATTTTATTGGTTTGTTTCCGGTTTGATTTCTGTCGGTCTTCGCTTTAAATCTGGTTTTTATGTTTTGAATCATTTTCCAAATCTGCCCATCATTATATTTAAGTCCTAATTCGGCTTCTACCTATTCTTTTATTTGTTCAACCGCCTTACGTCGTTTATTTTTGATTTCCGGGATGTTAGATTTTTCCAACAATACAGGATACTATTTAATTATATTAACCAATACTGTTTGATTTTCAGATGAATGGTCTTCCGAAACACCACCCACACAAACGTTTACCGGTATACAGTAGTAACTGCTCGCAATAGGGGAATTGCCAATTCGGCGAGACAACAAAATACAAGTCGGAACTCGAAAACCAGAGTGCCTACTCAAGTATTTCATTAGCCCTTGAGTAGCCTCTCCGTTTCTCGACAAATATTTTATGCATATCAAAACCGAGTAGGTTCTCCCTAACAGGAGTAGTTACTTGCTACAATATGGAGTCGCTACTTCAGAGAACCCACTCACCTTTATGCATATCACCCATTGATTTGGGCTGGTTGCAGTCTAGAACAGGAGGATTTGATCTGGCACGATCACATTTCATCAATAGCGGCAGCTGCTAGCAAAAAGCTGGGGTATTTCTTCAGGCCTAAGAAGTACTGTTCTCCGCATGACCTTCGCACTCTATACAAGGCCTAGATAAGACCTAGCCTTGAGTATTGCTCACACATAGGGTTTCCAATCCGGGATCCCGGGATTTCGGCATCCCGGGATCCCGGTTGGTTTTTAGTCCCGAAACTCCCGGGATTGAGATATACCACTTAAAATGCGAATTGCTTATTGATTAGCTTCAAGATCATTTTTATCTATTCTAGGAATATAAAGCATCTAGCGTCTGTAATAATGATAATGACATTGGTATTTTTATGAGCATATTTTATTTTACTAAGCAAAACGTACGTGTTTAATAAGAATTGGTTTTTGGTTTTTTAAATAGATTTAAGGGTACCTTGTTACCCCATTTTTTTGCTTACATAAAATATGTGAAGGCAGTAAAACATCGTTGATTGATTTTAATGTTTTTAATATTTTTTCCGTTAGTCTGTGTCTGTATTTTTATTTAGTATTAGATACTATCACCAGTTTTAAAAAAATGTTCTTAGGATTGATCCCGGTATCCCGGGATTTGTTTTTTTATCCCGGGATTTCAAAACGGGATCCCGATCCCGAAAATTGGAAACCCTACTCACACATTTGGGGTGCTGCCGCCCCGACTACATTATCCATGCAGAGGAGGGCTGTCCAACTGATCGATGACCCTTCTCTAATAGAAAGTCTGGGGAACCTTACGCACCGGCGGGCCGTCATCGATCTCTCTTCTACCGCTCCACCAACGGGCTTTCCTCCTCAGAGCTCTCCTCCATGATGCCGCCCCGCGATGTGACCGCCAGACAAATCTGAATGGCTTCACCTCCCCATCCTAATCGTGTCGAACTTCGTACATCCAGAACTGGCCGATACGCCCGCTCCTTTGACCCAAGGGTATCGAGATTGTGGAACAATCTACAAGAGGAAGCTTTTCTCAGTTCTACTAACCTTAGGCAATTCAAAAATCGGTTGAATAAAATTTCTTTGGGATTCAAGAAATCGTGAGTCGTGGAACTAAAAGAGCCCTAAAATACAAGACATACATTTTTTTTGGTGGGTGACCTACCTTTTAAAAATCATTGTTTGAATGTGTCACAGTGAGTGATAGTAACGCAAATCCTACCAAACGCAACTTACCGGATTTTTGTCAAACTATCGCCTCTGGTCGTACTATGTGACTAACTAGCTACCCATAACAGCCGTGTCTCAACCTCAGTATCCCTTCAACTCTCTCGATATTCTAACATAGGTATGTCATGACAAAGAGCAATCGCGTATAATATTATGCAATTGCGAATCAACATCAGCATCGCCTGCATTATTCTGAGCATAAAGTGTACTGCAGCAATAGAAGACGCTGACTAGTTAGCATGCTCATAACGTGAAACGAGCCCAGTAAAATGCACTCCAGCTCAAATTAACCAATTTACATTTTATAGGCTGCACTTACTAAGGAGAATGCAATATAAAATCTGTACCGCGGCACATACCAATTCCAGGTTATTACAGGTGTATAGTGAGTGAGTGGGAGTTACGTAACTCGATGCTATTGGGGAGAAGTCGGTTAGGCATTTTTAAATATCGAAGTTTCTCGTTTTCTATTCAATACGCCAATTGACGAGGAAGTAAAGGGCAACGCCTAAATCACGAAAACCTGTCAAACATTGAAAACACCAATTTATTATCGAAAATGATTCAAAATTAATATCTATTCCAAAGTTAACACCACATAATCAGAACTTTGCTTATACTACTTTGACCATGGCAGACTAACAAACTTGAAGTTTGTGGTGTATCAGTCGACACTACTTCTTAACGGCACATTAAAGAGCTTCTGTATCATCCGTTCCATTGTATATTGAAAATATTTAAGAATATGAATAAAGATCTTAATGAAGATAGTACGAACTTTCATTTGATCTAACAGAAATCGGTCATTATTGATGCTCTCATGTACACACCGTGAATTGCACGGATTCCTATTTTTAGCTTTACTTCTTTATTTTAATGATAGGTATTGCCATATAAAATGTGGTGTCAGTTTTCTAACTCGCATGCAGTCGAGAAATACAACCCTATAATATACTGCCTCATTATGGAATGCGGTAGGAAACGGTTATTCAGCTTTTTCGAATCAGTTCTTTGAGAGGCCTTAACATTCCCTTTAAGTACCTTCCTCTAGAATTGGTCTTTGAAGTAACCTTGGGGTAATCTTCGAATGCCCTTATAGTGATCAATTGACCTCTGATCCGGAGATAGTAATACCCAAATGACATGTATTTGGGATAAATTGCCCGGTGTTTCTGTAAATATCTTTGGTAAGACCTTGAAGTGACCTTCAAATACCCTCATAGAGACAAACTAACCCTAGACTTGAAAGCAGCGACTCCCCTCCATGATACCGCCGTGCTCCTTTGTTTCTAGGATGTTGAGATTATAGAACAATCTGCCAGATAAGCTTATTGCCAAACTTCTTTGCCTTAGGCAATTCAAAAATCAGATTAACAAAAGCAATATCAGTGCCTTTTTTCCAAAAAATGCGTTTCTGATCGGTCAACTGGATGGGCGTGCGGTTTTATAGGTGATCGGCGAACTGAGGCCTGAGCTGTCTGGTGGGGGTACTCTGGGTCCCATGAGTGACGTAGTTTTTGCGCTGTGTTTTTTCAGAATTGGGAACCACGTTTAGTTTAAAGCAAAGCCTTCTTCTTTTCTATTGAAATTATCGTTGTATTTGTAGATTTCAATTGCTTCTCTGTACATTCGGGCTGAGTAGTGGGTGGACTTCAGTTTGGTGGAATAGTCAGTTTGTCCCAGTCGACAGTTTCTTTCATGCTCCTTGACGCGTGTTTGGAAGCTACGTTTAGTTGTATACTTTTCCACAGGAACACAGTATTCTGTATACGCTGGCACAGCTCAGGGGGTCCCTAGGGTCCTTTACTGATGTTAGAAGTTGCTGGATTTTATTTGTCGGCTTCTAGATGGTCTTGACGTTGTGTTTTTGCATCAACCTCCCTATTATATTCGTAAGGCCTTTAATGTATGGTAGGAAGGAGACTTCCGTAGGTGGTTCCTGGTCTCCTGCTGCTTTTTTGTCGTGAAACCTGTTTTATTTGTTCCCTGCTATAGCCATTTGCTTGTAAAACCATGTTAACATAAGACAGTTCCGCCAGCAGGTATTGAGGTTCACAAATTCGGTGTGCCCTATCAGGTTTTTAATGACACCTGTTTTTGTCCAGCATGATGGTTGGAGTCCTTGTGTAGATATCTGTCAGTGTTTTTTTCTTTGCGGTAAACTCTGTACCTCACCTTTAAGTTCTCTCGTCTAACCACCAATACGTCCAGGAAGACCAATTGCTTATCCTCTTCTATGTCCGCAGATGTAGCCGAAAACTCTGGATCAAACCCAACCCTACCACGGCCCAACAGCCCGAAAAACCTAAACGACAATTGATAACAATGTTTTTTAGTTAACTCTATACACACCATGAAATAATCAGATGAAAAGAATTTAGAATACTGCTCCAAACGGGCAGTTGAAAAGGAACATGCTACCTTAAGTCCCATATAGCAGTCGTAGTGCCTCGTTGATTTGTGTTTCAATCTGCAAGACTGCGTCAGTATAGAAAAAGGCTTCGTGTATATTTGAGTGAACATGAACGTGATGCTCTTTTATCCTAAACTCTCCGCTACATTGTGAAATTTTATCCAACAGATTTGTACAACTCGTCCAGCAATGTCCATCTTTTCACAGTAATCAACCGTCCATTGAAAAATGTCCATTGTACTTCGACTGAATCGCCATGTCCCCTGCGAGCAATATACAAAATCCAAATCAATTACTCCAAAACGAACACCGCCCAAAACGCACGTTACCGCGGAAAATGAATTAAAAATTTTAGCGGTTAATATATAACGTCGATGTGGCCAGTGCAAAAAACAATGGAATTTTCATTTTCATTTGGCGGCATTTGTGTGATGTCTGCGGTTACATAGTTACAAACTGTTTTATAAAACAATGCAGTTCATTGAGCTAGTTCTTATTTAGTCTATTTGCGTTTTTAAAAAAAGGGATTGAATAACCTCTTCAATCTAGAATCTGTACATTTTGCAAACTCCGAAAATATACTCAGTAACAGAAGTGTTACACCCAGAAAAAATAATTTCTTCAACATGTTCTTCTTCGGTACATAATGACTACATTATAAGCATGCTGTGGCAGCAATATCAACGTTTTATATTTGTTTTTGTTTACCTTTGTTAAAATGTTTTCTCTTAGTTTTTGTGAAGAAATCAGTTTCAGAGAGCT